CAAAGGGACTAAAATTTGGTAGTTGGTCTTAACTGCATGGCAGACATACATAGGAATATGTTAATTTTGTGGATAAAGTTTTGTTTTAATAAACATTGGGGAATGTTAATATATTTTTACTCGAGGGTTTATATTGTTGTATTAAATATATTACCAGTAGAATTTGCAGCTATATTAAATCTTCTGCCTGTTGGGAACAGGGTGTTGTCATAAAATCATGAGCATAATTGTGGAAATATAGCTTTGTTAGACTCATTTCTTTAGTATTATATGCAAAAAGGTGACAGTCATCATTTATAATAAATATCCTGCAGTAGGTGGCATTGATATACTTAACTTTTGATACTTGCTTTTTTAAGACTGTGGTTAGTTTTCATTAAGCGACTGTAGTACTCTACTGTCAAAGCTTTATCTCTGTCTCCCCCTGCACAAAAGGACGACAGAGGGAAACCGCAAGCCTGCTTCAGGTCACCCAGTAAGGTAGTGCTGAGCCAAGCCTAGCACCCAGGTTATCAGCACTCTGTTTCCAAGGCTCTGCTGGCATTGGTAGGAGGCCTATCTCTACTTATATTCAAAGGTGTCTTAATGAATATTTTTGTTATTCTTGGCCCCTTTTATTACCTTGATCAGGTTGAAGTGCTTGTGAAGTGAAATAGAAAGCATTTACTTTCAGTATAGAAAATACAGCGTAGTTACCACTCTGCTAAAATACATCAAAGTGATGAGAAGATTAACTCAGCTGCAGGTATTTACCAAATGGTACCAGTGTATGATAAAGTAGATATCTGAAGGAGAGATGATTCTTAGCTGGAAGGTGATTCGGCAAATAGAAGTACTAGAGAATGATTTTGTCATTTGTTAACACCCTGGGGTTTGACCATCATAGTCTTGCTATCCATCATACAAGTCCAGTGGTGCTGTTTTGCTTCTGTTGAAGGCTAGTTAGCAAGTCTCCCCAGACTTTGTTCTGCAATGTCCTAGAGCAGGACAGGCTCTGAATGGGAGGAGGAAGAGCTAGAGACAAGTGAAAGAGGTTACTTCACCATAATTTTTCTTATTACTTCCTAGTATATACCTCAAATAAAGCCTGCTTTCTGTTCATTCAGAAAATCTTCAAGCATTTAGTAAAATGTGGTGGTGGTTGATTTTGGTTTAGGTTTTTTTGTTCTTGTTTTTTAAGTTCTTATACTCTACAACAGATACATCTTTTTGCTGTGGATTTAAACTCTTGCCTGGGGTGTGTTCTTTGCTTAGTAGGTGTACTCAAACCGTCCTTAATGAAAATCTTTTCTAAAGATTATAATTAGTCAATACACTTATCTTCATAGCATACGCCTATAAAAATTAACTTGCTGTCTGCTTTCAATCCATCCTTCCTTTGAAAAATCAGTCTATACTTTGATTTGAATATCAGACTGTATAATTGGGATGTTGCTTAGTTTTGGCACTAACATACTGAGAAATGAAAGAGTGGGAATTCTTAATTAGAGTTGTTTATATAAACTGTTTCTCTAGGGGAAAAACTGAGATCTTCACCTCAAACTAAAATTTTCATGTGTAATATTTGACCAACTTTTTCTAAAGCTACTAGATTTTTAAAAAAGATGATTTTGTCTTCTAGTGCTTTACTCTGAACAGTACAGTAATTGCAAGAGTGGTTTTTTTCTGTGTGTGTTTTTGCTTTCTTGAACCCTAGGGCATGGAGGGTTCTGTGGAAGATTTCACGTGATCTGACTGCCAGCGGTCCCCCCAAAACCACTTCACCACGTTACCAGCTCCCAAGCAAGCCTGTCCAGCCAAATGAAAATATACGTTGTAGCTCATTGTATAACCTGTAGTTACATGCATTGTTACAATCTTGAACAGTAGATTCTTGGGGTCTTTAGGGCTCTTACCTCACAGAGATGAGATGTCAGCCAGGTGCTATGTCAACACTGCTAGCATAAGGCAGGTGACATTAAAAGAAGTGGGGTGAAACTCCTAAGCAGACAATATAGTTGCAAAGATTGCAGGAACTGATGAACAGAAAGGTGGTGAGGGAGGAGAAACCATGTGTTTCCATCTCCAGGTTGCTAATTATACTTTCCTAGGGTTGTGCAACTGGAATTAATTCTGCTCTTGCATGGAAATACAGGCGTAAGAAGTCAATTGGAGGTGAGAATGAAGTTAAGGAGTTTGATAAACTACAAGTCTTGTTGTGGCTTAAAAAGGTGATGTTGGGGATTAATTTGGCTCAGGCATCCCCCAGAAGTCTGTCATCATTCTCTGAGCTACGCCAGCATATTTGTCTGTGTGACTGCGTGAAGAACCATAACCGGCCCTGACCCTGGGATTTTTTTAATGCATTGTATTTCCAGTCCATCTCTCACTACACAGTTGTCTGAACTCTCATAGAGGAAGGGTGAAGCAAAGGTGAGAATAAGCTAAAAACCAGAAAGCATATAAACTGGAATGGCTGCTGAACAAATTAGTATAAAATTATATCCTCTGTCTGTCAGAGTGCACCATAGTGAGCCATCTATCCTTTCTTTAGAAAAAGAAAGATGTTAGGTTTTCCTTAAAACTCAGAATGAATAGACCATTTGGCCTTGTCTCTTACTTGGCTTGTACCGGTCTCTGAGGATAAAGAGATCCTGTAGAAGGACCAGACTTTTTTTTCTGGGCAGTATCTGTGAATATTTCTCTTGGGGGTTGATGTTTCTGAAGTATCTCGAAGTGTTCAAAAGCTGCTGAGAGTGCCTTTTATTAGCTAGCTCCTGCTTATTTATTTATTACACCATCTGTCCTGCTATCCAGACAGTTGTATTTTAGCAATGGTCTTGGCTTGCTGTAATAACTTCATTTTGTAGGATAAAACATACTTTTCCACCTGGCGTGTACCTTTAACTTGCCAGTGTCTGTCAGCATGGTGGTTATTAGGAGTCTATGCTTGCAGAGAGGAATTTGTTAGAGAACAGCCCAAATGACTTGTTAGCTGAGCTTTTCCTTCTTGAAAGCTGTTGGTATACTCAGGTTCATTTCTGTATGGCAAAAATGTGTAAGAAATACTAGAACAACCATGTTAATCGTTAGCAGGTGATTATTTTCGGCTCTCTTGCATGTATAGCTGTGAAAGAAGCATATCATTTACTGGAGCAGGTTGGCCAGGTTACGCTAGCTTGGCTTGCTGATGGTTTTGTTCAGCAGAATTTACAGAGAATGTCATTTTCTGACAGTGTGTGCTCTAGAACGAAGTTTGAGACTATGAGAACAGGTTCTCTGATAGCTAGGCTGGTTTGAGCAGCTGGTGCGAGTGAAGCTAGATGGCTGGTTTCCAGTGGGGCTAGCAAAAAGAGTTGGGGGGACACTGGCAGGAAGGTTATAGAGTGGCAGTCCAAACTCAACTACTGCAGCGTGATACCTTGTTCAAAAAAACCTGTTAGATACGCCTAAGGAGGTAGAAGTTTGAGGTTTTCATTTCAGCTGTATTTTTCGTACAAAATAGGTCCAGTTGGTAAATGGCCATAGTATGACCATTAATTTTTGTTCTTTAATTTTTAAGGTCAATGTGTTTCATACTGAGATCTGAGGGAAGGGAGGATATTAGACGTGGCAAGCGGCAGTGGTATATAGCACCTTTAAACAGCAACACAGCTGCTACCGGATTGTGTCTACTTCTAAAAGTCCATGAAAGGCTGCACCATGGTGCAGACAGCAAACAGCCCGGCTGCTTGGGAGCTGCTGTCATGGCTTAATGGGTGTAAAAGTCTACCTACCACCTGTCATGCAAGGGAGATGACAGAGGAGGACATGTGACTTCAGAAGTTTTAAAGCAGAAAAGTTTCCCAGATGAGCAATATGACAGATGTTTCTGCTTACTTGATAACTTAATTATCATTGCAGTTAAATCTTTTGCTTTAAAGATAATAGAGATTTATATCTGCGGGTATCTCTTGGAGATAATCCAAGCAAAAATAATACATCCAGGGCAACATTACGTACTTAGGAAGGAGGCCCTGATGCTTGTTGAAAAGATAAATAAGGGAGATGCAACCTCTGCAGTACATTTCCTGCCTTTATCTTCTAGAATTAAGTTCTTACATTATTTTTTTTAACTGTAGGGTACAGTACCTAGTACACACTTTTATAATTCTCAGGATTCATTGTCTTTATGACCACAGTATGACCATTATGCTGGTTTGAGTAAATGAACCTTTTTGTGTAGCCTTTAAACAGGGCACTTGTTTGCTGGGTCTGAGGCGGATCACCTGTCCTTGATGTCTCAGTATTTCACACATGCTCTCTTCATGTTCCTGGATGACTTTCACAAGTTCAGATGGCAAACAACTTTTACATTTTGATATTTGAGATGGGGGAGATCTCATTACAACTCCATCACTAACCGGTTTGGTGGAGTATCGGCAAGAAATTACTGTTTTGCTTTGGGACCTTCTCAGAACTGGATACAATATTTTATTGTTTTTAATTCTGCTTGGTTTTAAATTCCGTAATCTTTAGTGTAGCTATGGTTCTTGGTTTACTGCCTAGTTTTACAGAAACAATGCATTCGTGATCTACTGTATTCCATTCCACACTTCTTCATCCTTCACTTCTGTTAATTCTTTTTAAATAATTTCGTGCTGTAAATACATGTGTGAGGAATGTGGCAAAGCCTCTTTGTTTTTAGAAGACAGATGAAGCATATATAATTAATTGAAACTTGTATGATTCAAAATTGCCCATCATTAAAAGTCGAAGATGAATTTGCATGTCCTGCTCTTTTGCATTTCTTGTGCTTAGCAGAATGCACAGTTTGTACATTCATTATTTGCCTCTGTTCCTTTCAACACAATACTTACCTATACACAAAGGAAGGTCTTTGATCCAAGTTGACGAGCTAAAATCTGAGTAAATTTTGGTGTGACCTGTAGAAATGTACTTTATCTTCCTTCTCTCAATATGGTGATAAGCTGCTGATGTTTTTTCTCCTGTTCTTCCCCCTACCCACCCCCCATTTCCAGTGTTCTATTTAGGTGAGTGTTTTAATTTTTTGAGCCTTTTCTGTACTTCCAAGGGTATTTGTTCGTTGTTTTAAGAAAATCTCAGACTTGGAGTGCTTTTCAAAGCTTTTGTCAAGTTCCATCATATATAAAATTTATTTTGCATTTCTGTGGAACCTTTTCATCCATGTGAAATAAATCCATTCTGCAAATACGCAAGGTAACATTTGTTGCAGTTTTTATTTGCTGTATTATGTTGTTGAGCTTGTTTGGCTTAAAAAACAGAAGTAAACAGTTCCTATAATGTCATGTGATGGCTGGCCTCTTGCCTTGATTTTGTGCTTTTTTGCAAAGTAAAAGTTCAAATCATTAATTTATGGTCTGTCTTTGCTTTTTAGGTCCTACATTGCCTCGACAGAATTCACAGCTTCCCTCTCAAGTACAAAATGGTCCATCACAAGAAGAATTGGAAATCCAGAGAAGGTATGGTATGCTAAGTGAACAGCTGTTCAGTTAAAGAATGTAGTAACTCCTCACTAATGATCAGAAATTAAATGTCAAGGTCTTGTAAATACTCTGTTGCATTAGGGCAGTGTTTCTATGCTTGCAGTTTTCCTTAGAGCAGCTTTCCTGTGTAAAAACTTTGATTGTAGCTAGATCCCATGATCTCCACCCATTCAAACGATGCAGTTGCTATTGGCCTGTCATGAAAGTGTTGAAGATGAGATAGGAAGCCTTGGAAGATTTCACTGCTGTCATTTTCAACCAGACTAATTAATTTTCCAGTGACTGTTGTGTCTTCGGTTTTTGACACACGCTTATAAAGAAGAAAGCAGTAAGCAAGGGAGGAAGTTTTAACCTTTAGAAGTAGAGAATTAAATCATCACGCACAATGACAATTTTTCTTCCTGAATGTGTATGCACTAGATCAAAATACTGTATTGGAAAGCTTGTTTGCCTTTATACTATATTAGTTCTTTAGCAGAGAAACCTTCATTTTCTGCTTTTAGTGTATAAATTTATGGAGCTTTCAGTAGTTTAACTTTCAGCTGTAGCAATACTGGTTGTATCTGTGCTGCCCTCAGGAAGCAGTCCCTGTTCCTCTGACCAGTCGGCACTCCTCTGAGCTAAGCTGTCCCTTTCAATGAGAAGCCACTGAACCCTGTCCCATGCTCGGTGGGATATTTTTCACACCTGTAGCATTTTTAAAATATGGGTGTTTTTCAGTTCTTTTTAATAATCGTTATGTATTAATCGTGTGCCCAAGTTCTGGGAACAAACTTTCTAGTTCCCATATTCCCGCTTTTGTTGTGTGGCGATCTGGGTTAGTGTTATACCTTGAGTGTCTGAGATACCGGTATATGAAATAGCAGAGTCTTCTAGGAAAGTGCTATCGGACTGGGTTAAGTGAAAACAACAAGACCTTGGGATATCTCAAACAGACGTACTGCCTGTGCTGCAATCCTGGATTATTTTATCATCAAAATACTCCCAGGAGATTAGCTGTTCCCTTCCAGAAGGGATGCTGGGAGTGATTTAGATGACATGCAGTACAGATGCAGGGAACGGGATCCTTGAATAAATAGGAAGTGGTCCAGAGTGATGGTGTAAATGCACTTAATAACTTCCAGTGTAACTGGAAAAATATTTTAATGTGTTGGGTTTAATTGGTGATGAAGTTTTTTTCTATTTTGATATTTTGCATTTAGTTTGTTTATGCAAAGGTGAGCGGAACCAGATTGCTAATTTGGGAGTAATTCGTATTACAGATTTGATAAACTAGCTGTATGTGTTGAACAAAGTTTTGCCATCAAAATTGGTCATACTTGTCCATCTCTTCTCTGCAGTATGTTCTTAAATCTGAGCAGGGGTCGCTTTATCTGAAAGTCTCCTTGTTTAAAAACAAACAGTAATATGCTCATTACAAATCTGTCTGTGTTTACGTGCAAGTCTGCTGTCATGATAAAGGTCTTTCATGTCACTTCTTTTGACAGACTTTTAAAAAGCTTTTTTCTTCTGATTTTTTTTTTCTGTTCTACAGTAGTGGCTTTTAATATTTCTGTTCCTCTGTAAGTCTGCATTAATTGAAATTTATAATGCTGAAATACTTTTCAGAGAAGCATTGTAGATGTCTCTTCAGAAAAAAATGCCGCCCCATATTAAGAGCTCTGCAAGTCTCTTGAAATTTCTTGTGTGTAAAGGTCATATTATCAGATGGCATTCTTATGGCCTCACTTTCTCGTTTGATCAGAGTGCTCTCCTTGTTTTCATCTAATATAATGTCCTCTTTGAAGTCTGGTCCTGGTTTTGGTTTATTTTTCCCCTAAAAAAGGATAGAGAACTGGAATGAGTGTTTACTCATGCTGCTAGCCAGATTGTCTGTGGAAAGACTACTGTGTCATTGAGCTGAAGAACAACATGTAATTTTGTTAAAACATTTCACAAATGCTTCTCCAGTCTCTTTACTACTGTAACTATATGGTTATAATACAGTTCAATTAACTCTAAGCTAGAACTTCTCTTCTGTAGTAACTGTCTTTCAGCTTTCAGACTGTAATAACAATAGTCCTACTACCATATTGTAGAGAGCAGCAAACGGCTGGGAAGAAAGGGTGTAGGTATATCTTACTTTTAACATATCTACAAGTGACATTTCCAGTCTCGGTAAAGGGCAAAGGCAGTGTGGGCAGAATTGAATTCTGTGGGGAGCAGTAAGACTACAGGGAATGCAAGAAAAGGGAATAAATGTTACTGTGTAGGAAGGAACATGGGGTTTGTGATGGATCAGTAGAAAGGCAGGCTTTGCTAAGTCTATTGCTCATGAAATGTGTGTCTGTGGGGTGGGGGTTTTGTTAAAGATGTGGCTTGATAATAGTTGTCTTAAGCGCTGGGTCTCATACCTCTCTCCGTAAGTGTAGCTGGATTCAGTAGCATTTGACCGACTCCCATGTTAAAGAAAATGTTCACAAGAATATTTTTTGAAATGATTCTAAGCCTGAGAAAAAAGAATCTGCTTAACATAAAAATTAAAATTGAAAAAGGAACCCTGTGGAGGTCATCTAGTCCAACACACTGCTCAAAGTCGGACTGATTTCAAATTTAAATTACGTGGCTTGTAGCTTCAGGGTTTTCCTAGGCACAAATAGAAACATTTCCTCAGAAATGTTTTGCCAAAGGAGTGACTGGTGAAGAATGGCATATTAAAGAGAGCTCTTCGACTGACCCAATGTTTTCCTTTGCTTTTATAACCAGAGTTCAAGAATCTTGGGGAAATGAGGAACCAAAGAATTAAATAAGATTGTTGCCAACAAAAGTGTATTATTTTGGTTCAAAGATTGTTCTCTGTTTTAGAAAGGATTTAGGTGCCTTACATTTTGAGTAAAAGTGCTAAATTAGTAACATTACTTTGTTTATTTTGCTGCAGAGCTTGTTACATGAGTATTTGTGGGTTTTCACTGTGCAGTGATGACTCTAAAGCCACTAGGACCAGATGTGTGAACTAAAACACTGAGGGTTTTATTAAGGCCAAGATTACACATAAGGTGGTCAATGAAATCATTTTGTCTGGTGAATTGACTTTGTTGCTTTCTTAAAAGAAACCTTAACTCATGGTGTATGCTTTCCCTGTCAGGGAGTACTTGAAGATAACTGTAATTTTCCTTGACTTGCACCCATTTAAATACAGTAATAACAAGCTTTAAAACATTTCCATTTTCGGTCCTCAAAAATTAAGGGGTTTTTTTGTTATATGGGTTATTTTTCATTTTGTCAGAGTGGTAGTTGGGCAGTGTTTTTATAAATTCCACTGACTGATAATGAGCCAACTTCAGTTGACATATGTAACTTCAGAGTTACTTAATGTCAAATACCATTTTAAAATACAAGATTAGTTCATGGCATGCCTCTGTGCGCTACTCGTGCATGTAAATTTACCTTCTCTTCCAGCCATGATAAATATATTGTCAGGAATATGAGTCACTGAGTCGGTATCTAATATGACACTTGGGAATGTAATGAGTTAATGTTTATAAATAACTTCAAAATCATCACCGCTTCATAAATAAAGAGAGCAAGAACACCAGAAACAGAGAAAGCGTATAGATTGTAAGGAATAATGAGGGTATACAAGCCGCCTGTTGTCCTTCAGGGACGTAATGGACCAAAACTTGACCGACTTCTGTCGTAAGTACTCAAATATTAGAAGTTCTCATAAACACAACAGCAGAATATTAGGTCGTCTTTTAATTGTTAAATGCTTTAAGTTTGCTTGAAGTTTTAGTTTATATCTTGGATTGGGATGATACTGTTAAAGAAAACTTAGTGTGTGGCAGTCTAGATAGCGGTATTGATATGGTGTGGTTTTCATAATGTCTTTTGAGAGGCTTCATTTTAGATAAATGCTTTTTATTTAAAAGATTAAAACTTTTTTTTCTGAGATTTTGCTAATCTTAATTTTTAACTACGGTTAAAGAATTTATATTTTTCCCTTGTAAATTAGTAATTATTACCTATATAATTTCTGAACTTTTTTGAAAACATTTGTGGAAATACTGAAAGAAAAAAAAAAACCTGTATCCTGCAATTCAGTAGCAATGTAGCTATAATAACTTAAAGGAAGGAAAGTTTGCCCATCCCTGGTAGCCTGGTTTCTACCAATTTCCCACAGCCCATGACCTTTCCCTAGTTAGTGGCCAGATGTACTGTTTCCAGTTTTCCTTTGCTTTTGAATTTGTGCCATTTATCCCACATCTTCTTTTGAGGAAGTAGGATTTCTTTAAAGGTATATGGATTGATTAGATTGTAACTAAGCAAACAGTTCTAATCTGAGGTAGGCATACAAATATAATGTAGTAGTTGGCATTTTGGTTTAGGGTATGAGTGATCAGTAGAATACCGTCATTCGATTGTAGCATGTGCTGTGCGTGCTACAAAATCTGCATGAAGTTCTCATCCCAGAGACGGCTTAGATGGAATCAATGGGGGTTTTTTAATGCCTAAAGTAAAGGTTTCCAGCGGGTCAAAGTTACATCAGTGTAAACTTCTCGAGCTGAGCTTGCTGAGGTAGTTTCATAGGACAGTCTGCAGCCATTTGGATCCGCATAGTAGGATGGGAGACAAAAGGAGGCAGAAGAAAAAAGACCCATCAGTGAGGGTTGTTTATCTCATCCTAAAGACTTAATTTTTTTTTTCTTGCCCTCAAAGTTTCTGGAAAACAGAGTTCTGGTATAATAATTACTTTTTTTTTTTTTTTTTTAAGTGCACCTCATTTTCTTTCCATTCAGTTTCTTCCCATTCACGATGAAGTTTTTCTTTGTTCTGTCAAGTCTAGCTGTAAGAGACTTAATAACTGGCTTTATGGAGAGGTAATGGGTGCTGTCTGGTTACAGTACTGAATAGCTATAGATGTTGGGTAACATAGACTGTTTAGCAGACTGAGAAGAGCACTCTTCCATTAAGCAGTCTTTTGACTACATTGGCAAAAT